CTTGACTGCTGCTTCCACAAGCACTGATTGTGAATCCAAGCAGGACTAGCGCACTGTTGTTTACTGGTCCAACTGTTAAGTACTCTTGTGTTCCCACCCTGGTGCTGCATTCTTTCAATAGGAGAGCTTCTCGGGCCACCTGCTCAGCATAGAGAGAGCATGTTCATCAAAGCCTACACTTGGTGCACACCTCCGCTGACTTTAAACCAGGCGGTGTTTCCTTTGTTCCAAAGACCACCTCTCAGAGGACGACAGGCTCTGCAGGAGCGCGAGGAAGGGTTCTGGAATCCCCATGCTTCGCAATGTTACTCATAGCGTGTTATAATCCACAGTGGGATGCTTCGGCATAGTCCACAAAACGTCAGCATCTTCCTGGCATTCTCAGCGTGCAGCCAAGATCCACCAGCTATCAGCCATGGCATCTCCTGTCCCCACTGTTCTGAACCCAGCTTGAATTTCTGAGAGCTTTCTGTCCAGATGCTGCTGCGACTGTTTTAAAATGGCCTTCAGCAAAATTGTACTTGGATGTGCCACTGTTCAGTGATTTCCCACATTCCAGTGGGTCACCTCTCTTTGGAACAGGCACCAAGTTCCACTGCTTTTCATACGGTGTTCAGCGGCTGGTCCCCGCTTTCTCCTTCCTATAGTTTCTTCACTATGGCCTTTCCTTCTCTTCCCCGTTTAATCTAATCCAGTTCTCGAATTTATGTGTGCAGAGTCAGGGTCAAGGGTGAAACCGCGAACCAAACCTGCTGCCTTCTAACCAGTTCTGATGTGTGGTGACCCTACAGGGCAGAACAGAACTGCCCCAGCAGTTTCCAGGGCGGTCAACCTTTACAAGATCAACACGCCTCATCTTCCTGCCGTGGAGGTGCTTGGGGGTTAGAACCACTGATCTTTAGATCAGTAGCTGAATGGCTAACCGGTGTCAGCAAGACTCCTCGTCAAGGACTATGTATTTGAGAGAGAGAAGTACACATATACTTTATTATGAGTTGCTTAAGGGATGTTCAAGAGGAAGTTTTTCTATAATTATTTCCCCCTTATTGACTTTATTGGTTTTTTCCCCCTTATTGACTTTAAACCGTAAACCCTAGCTAATAAAAAATGAGCACAAGAATGAAGAAGACGCAGTCTCTCCACCTGAAAGAGCTTGCTCCCCTTCGTATAAAATAGATTATGAGAGATTTCTACTCATATAGGCAGGGTGAGAATACGCTATGCCCATATCAGCAGGAAGCCGCTCCAGTAGGAGAGACCTCTGGGCCTGAGCCCATAAAGGATGATAGACATCAAATCTCTCGGAGCTGGGGAGGGAGGGAGATGTGGCAGGGAATGGGAGCCAAGGTGGAGATTTGGACAAAGCATACACAGAGCCCATGAAATATCTTGGGAATGCATTTCCCAGAAACCCTCACAAGCCCCAGGCCGAAGTTTCCTCCAGTGGCAGCAGTTCCCCTACCATCTTTTGCGCTGGGATGTTAAAAACCCAGTTTCATGGTGGCCGGTAGAGAGAGATGCACCAGGTGTAGCCATGCTGGCTAGTGAAGCGCACTTTCTTTGCCGGAGACCCTCAAAAAAAATTCTCCATGTGAAAAAAAAAAAAAAAAGAAGGAAAGAAATATTCTAAATCCAACTGTGCTGATGATTACACAACTCTTGTCAACATATTTAAACCACTGATCTGTATGGTATATAAATTAGATGTCAATAAAACAGTTGGAGAAACTTAAGCCCTCCGTAAGTCGTTTTTTTTTTTTTTCCTTAGTGTTCCATCAGTAAATTAATATTCTGCAAAGTAAAGGCTGTTCATTACCACCTTTCTCTGTGACCGCTTTTGATTCTTCACCAGGAGGTAATGGAAGTGTAGACTCAGAAGCACCGTCTTTTTTCGATGTCATTAATCCTAGGACACAGGAGAAACACACTGTGGTCAACATGAGAGATTATTTTTTTAACATTGCACGTAAAAATGTAGTTGTTTTTAAGGTAGTACTCATTTCTGAAAACAGCAGAGAACAAGAACGTAGGCAGCTGGGGACTGATTTCATTATTTAAAAAGAAAAGATTCCCAGCTCCTCCGAAAGTTCCAATCAATTTCCCCAAATACCTTGAACCTATGCAACTATCCTCAAAGGATGTACAAATCACAAAACGTGCTTGCAGCGGTCGTCCAGTTGTTTGATCTTTAATGAGCTCCTTAGTGTGTGTGCACAATGCTCACAGGTAACGCAAATGCACCACACCTGAGCTACAACGGCTGCATGCGGACCAGGGCTTTTACGTTACCTAGGTGATGATTCCCCTGAATCCTCGGCTGTGGCCTGTTCTCACTCCTTGTGGCCCTGCAGGACAGAAAAGAACTGCTTCTTTGGGTTTCCAAGGTTGTAAATCTCGATGAGGGCAGAGAGCCCTGTCTTTCTCCCACAGAGCAGCTGGTGGGTTTGAATCACTGACCTCGCCTTTAGGAGTCCAATGCTTAACCCACCTCACCGCCAGGGCACTTTCTCGCATTGAGATATACATGCAAATTTATGACAGCTGATTTTTAGTAAATGTTGTGTAAACAATCACTGTAAATCATCATAAAGTATTACGAGAGTTCAGAGAGTCCGAAATCCTGTACTCTCTGTTACTGGTATTCTGAATATGACCATCCTCTCGCTGAGAGTTTATACAACTCTCACAAAAACAACCAGTGAAAATCACATTAAAATAAGTTTATGTTTTGGACTCGACCTTAATAAGAATTCTGTTCCATGCCCACAGAAGCAAATTATTTAAAATAAATAAAAATAAAACGTCCACAAGGACTGCATCCAATTTTAAACTTCCATCAAATATCCCATGTCAATGCCACTCACTTAGGAAGCCTTCTGGGTTAAGAAATGTGCTTGGACAGGGCCTCTTCCATTTCATAGGAGAGGAAGACATGAGCAGACATAAAAGATGAGGGCAGATTCGGTGCGCACTGATAGAGAGCGAGGAGACAATGATGGAGGCTCAAGAGGTAAACTAATGCCTCATCAAAGCACCTGCTGAGCGGAGTCCTGAGGGACGGGTCAGATTTATTCCACAGAACACTGGGGATGCAGCCAGGAACAACTGAGGGATTCTGGACGGATCTAAAGGAGAGAGAGGGGGATCTTAAAAGACATGATCAGAGAATGGTGAGTAGCTTGGCTAGAAACAGGGTACTCTGGGGATTTGGTTGAATAAGGACGAAACAGGTAGTTCGTGTAGGTGCCCTGGTAGTGTGGGGTTATAAGCGGGGCTGCTAATCGCAAGATCAGCAGTTCAAAACTACTCTATATACTCTATAAAAACTACTTTTTAACTCCCATGAGGTTACAATCTCAGAATCTCACAGGGGCCGTTCTACTGTGTCCTATAGGGTCACCGTGAGTCAGAATCAACTCATAGTGAACTTTAGGATCAATGGGGAAATTGTGACCCTTGACAAATTTTGTCAAAACATTAAAAACATTCTCATTAGCAGTCATAAATGTACAGAAGATTAAAAATAGTAAATTAAGACTAATTCAGTACCCTGTTATCTAAAACAATAAGGATATCGAGGACAAAAGTGTTTTCTTGGAAAAGCAGCAAACGTATCAACGGAAGTTTCCATCTCTTTCCTCATCCTATGATTTGTAATGCAGAGTGCGCATCGTTTCTGTGCCCTGGAAGCCGTTATTTTCCTGTCTTGGAATATACTTCTCCTATTTCATCTCATTTCGCTCAGTTATAAAATCCTGGAGTGCTTCTTCAGTGGGACTTTATTTTTCGGATGTCAATTCCTCTAGGACATCTCCGTCCTTCCCATCACAGTCACTTCCTCGTTTGAGCTGCTAAGTCCACCTTCACTAAGTCCCTAACCCCCGTCGTCATATGCTGGCAGCGCCAACATTCCCGTGGCCAGCTATTTGGTCTACGTCTCCATTTACGCTTCATTCAAACGCCACTCCCAGTATTAACATCTTTCACCACACTGTCATCCTTGTCTGCCAATTCTTTTGCATTACCCATTGGTCAAATGTCGCCTGTACAAGGAGGTAACCGAACTATGCACTTGTCTGTCTCTACATAAACTGCATAACAGATGTGCAGTGACTCATCACCAACAGCCTTGGAAAGCAGTGACCGGATTGGCCATCTGTTACTCACATCGTGAATTTTGGATTCAATGGCTAACAGGAAAGTGTGTACTTTGTGTAATTACTCGCATGTAAGATCACGTGGGAACTTAATTTTAAGCCACTTTGTGTTACAGTGAACCCTCGTTTATCGCGGTTAATCGGTTCTAGACCCTACTGTGATAAATGAAATTCCGCGAAGTAGGATTCCTTATTTGTAAATCAAATATTTTCGTAGTTAGAGCATAGAGGACATGAAAAAACACCCTTTAGTCACCATTACACTCGTATTACCCAATTTATTAAACGAAAAAGGGAAAATACAGTAAAACATTTTGGACGTTACAATTATCATTTATTATTTATTATATTATTTATGGCATCAAGAGTGTACAGTATGAGCCAATCAGTGGCAGTAATGACAGATCATGCGCTGTTACGCAAAAACCGCGGTAGAGTGAAGCCGCGGAAGTCGAAGCGCGAAGTGGCAAGGGTTCACTGTATATGACTGGATTGTGGTCATGAATTTGTACCTGCCAGTACTATGCAAAGCAAGGACTGCCTGTGTGCATATTTTAACGCATAGAACCAGCCCCCCAAAACTTTATGGACATACTGTCTTTCTACAAAATATTCAAATCATTCAGAAGAAGCTAGGAATGGAGAAACTGAAACAAAAAGCAAAGGGCAGAGAGGAAGCCAGATCATGAAGTGGCAGTCCCAGGGTTGGGACTGTTTGTGCATTCAATGTGCAGCTGACCCGTGCCTGCCCTTCGGTTTAGGCTACATCCTGTCAAGTCAGCTCTGATTCAGAGATGCTATACAAAAGACTGGAACCTGGCCAGGCCCACGCCACCCTCCAATCACTGCCCTGCGGCAGCTCAGTTTCCCTTGGATGCTATGACTATCTGCGTACTGAACCAACCCCTCTCATGACGGATTCTTCGCCATGATCACCTGTATTTGCTGCGCGTGCATTTTTTCACATCACTGAAGAGGGTGTGAGCCTTGTCTGGCACTAACCAAGCGGATTCCGACTCATCATCAGTGTTTCCCAAAGTGGGCCATGGCACCCATCTGGGGCACTGGCACCACTGGGGGCTGCAGAAGCAGATGCCTACACTTTATCCTGGATGATACATGGATGATGTACGGGCTAGAGTACAAACGTTTTTCATGGGAGGTGGGAGTAGGCGCTGAGTAAATTTTCTCTGAGGAGGAGGCGGGAGACCAAATAAGTACGGGAACTTACACTATATAGAGTCCCTGAGGCTTTAAAAAAAACTTTACAGTCTCCCATAGCCTCATTTTCTCCCACAAAGCAGCTGTTAGGCTTAAACCACCAACCTTGCAGTTAGCAGCAGTTCAATGCTTTACCCAACAACACTGCCAAGCACTTACCTACAAATTGGACTTCCAAGATAGACTTGGGAACTTCATTTTATAGCCCAGGGACTCCCTGTGATGTTTAAACCTAATCTACTGGAAAGTAAACATCAACCCAAACTAAGGCAGATTCTAGGAAAGATCTGTCCAGCATGCTTCCAATGCCATCGCCCTGAAGCACAATGACAGCTGAGGGCCTGCTACAGGTCAGAGGAGACTACGGAGGTAGGGCAACTCAGTGTGGGCATTCCCATTGGTAGAAAAAGGGACAACCTAAATGCATCCTGTATTGCTTATTCTAGGTCCGGTTCTCAATTTTGGTTACTGTTCTATGGTTACATCTGAAGCTAACAGAGGGGGAGGTGCGTTACAGATATATTGAAAGTTGAAATGTTGAACAAGGCAAATAAGCCTGCTAGGTCCACTTCTATTCTCCATGCACTGGAGATTCTTACAGGTACAGTATGGTAACAAAAAGAATGAACGATGTAAGAATTTGAAAGGAAGGGGGAAAAAAATCTATCCTTTTCATATATGATATGTGTGTACATGTAGAAAACCCCAAATAATCTACATGGCAAAAATGTTCTGGATATGAAATCAGTATATAAAAACATACAAATAGACAAAAGAGAATTCAATACCATTTATAGTAGCATCCAAAATATAAAGTACCTAGGAGTAAATCCAGTAAAATATACACAAAATATCTCTCTTAAGAACGTGATCCAATCTTATTGAAAGCTTGCTTAAAACTTAATTGGAGAGCTGGTCTAAGCTCATAATGAAAAGATTAAGCTAAAGATTGTCAGTTCTTCCCAAATTGATTTTAAAGTTTAAATGCAATACCAAATAAAACCTCAATAGATTTTTTTTAAGAAATGTTAACAGCTGATTGAAAATTTATGTGAAAGAGTTACAAAGACTTCAAAGAAGCAAGAAATTCAAGAATAAGGCAGAAAATGTGCCTCTACTAGATAATGAAGTATTCGCTTCCCATCTGCTGCGTGCACCGAACCAAACCTAACCAAGTCATGCTCACTGCCGTCGAATCCATTCAGACTCAAAGCGACAACGGGCACAAAAGGACAAAACACTCTCACCACCCACTTCAAGTGTAACATTTTGCCGAGTGGGTGAAAGTTTTACATGAACAAAGCGATCAGAGGGCCAAGGTCAAGATAGCACACAGATAACTGAATGGTATGGATCAGTACACAGAACATTAGGAGGTGGTTTCTGTTTTTCTCTTTAACTCCAGAGTCCTTGAAGGTCAGATTCTGAACCGGACCGGAGCGGAGCGGGCATCGGGAGGACAGTCTTCATGGGGACACACGATCTGAATCGGGAGGTAAAGACTAGCTGGGGCCCTAAATGGCAGAAGTCAAATCCCTGCACCTGGAAACACAGCATGAGACCAAGTCTTAAGGGCGGCGTGAGAAGGGGGGTGCAGAGGGCAGTTCAAGGGAAGACGAAAGACAGAAAGCGGGCCGGGCCACAGAGGGCTCGGAATGCTAGTTTCCAGACCCGGCCACGTTTTGCTGATCGGGAGTCACGAAAGACCGTGGACAGCTAGCGGTGCTTCATAAAAAAACTCCCTGGAGCTATAAAGTCCAGTTCTGAGGGAGAGATGATGGGGTGCGGAAGGCATAGCGGCAGTAGGAAAAGGAGAGACAACGGGAATGGCATCAGAAACCATGACTGCGGTTAAACACTGTTGCGGACGCTGGTTTGATTCGAGCCAGGTGTCCGTTCGCAAAGGAGAAGCAACCCAAATGGACAAGTTTCACCAGTGACCCTCGGGCGTGACCTACCAGTGTTCACTGTGCATGCGACATGGGTCACGTCCACCTTCTGGGACCTGAGGAGGGGGGCGGCTTTGGTGGAAGAACTGTGCACGGTGTTCTTTCTTCGGTCTTTTGCTTTCGTTATCTTTGAAAGCGGTGCGAAAATACCTACGGGGGAAATGCAGACTCGTTAGCTTGGGTGTAAGCACCGGAAAGCAGACCAAGAAAAGAGGCAAGCACATCTATTTTTGCGAGATGAACCTTTCGGGTCATTTTTAGTGACTCTTGTCCCACGTGCCCACAATTGAGCTGCCAACACACACACACACACACACATACACACACACAAACACACACACACACAGCCACTTAAGGATCCCTTGCTGCTGCCGTTGGTGGTGAGCTGGAGTTGATTCCAACTCCTACGGGCAGAATGAAGTGTGATTCTGGCTATGTTTGAGCCCGTTGTCGCTGCCATTGTGCCAAACCATCTCGAGGGTTTGTTTTTTTCTTTTGGTTGACCTTCTACTTTACCAAGCCTCATCTCTTGTGCCCTCCTGATACCATGTCCAACTGCTGGCTGTGCTCCTTCCAAGACCTATTTGTTCACTCTGCCAGCCTTCCGCAATAGTCGGTCTTCCTCCTCGCCAGCACCATGATCCGGAAGCGCAGGTCGTTTTACTGTCTTCCTGACTGTCCAGTGTTCACATGCATAGGAAGCAACTGGACCGACTCTCGATTTGTGCCCTCATCAAGGACATTTTGGTCTCCACAAATGACATCTTTCTTTACTAATACTCCAAGGAGGTCTTTGGCTACACATTCATACAGTGCAAATCATCTGGGCTCTTTGACTGCTGTTTCCATGAGAAAGACCCACGCACACCATCTCAGGTGGTAAGTGGTGTTCGGGGAAAAGCGAATAAGGAAGGGGTCATACTCCCTGCCATCGGGACAAGACTGACTCGCAGCAACCCCTCAGGCAGAGTAGAACTTGCCCCTGTGGGGTTTCCAGGTCTGAGCAGCTTTGTGGGCTCAGAAAGCCTCGTCTTTCTCCCTCAAAGCTCCTGGTGCTTTAGAACTGCTGACCTCCGGTAGCAGCCCAGCTTAGAGCCCTTAGGGCCACAAGGGCTCCTTGTAAGGGTGATCGTTCTCTATGACCATTTCTGACTTGGCTATTGTCAAGTGCATTGTATTGTTAGGTACAGTGCATCATATTAAAAATATCTATGTCTCATCTTCCATGGTTTCTCTCCTTCCATAAGGATCCACAGGACTTGACCTGAGAGCCTTCCTGGCTGCTAATCTCAAAGTCCATGGTCCAAACCCACCAGCCGCTGGAGGGAAGACAGACGAGGCAGGCTAGCCCGTGGAGATGTACAGTCTCACACGCTCTATGCTGCAGTTCTTCAATATCCGACTACAGGGTCGCTCTGAGTTGGAATCACCTTGACGGCAGTGATCATTGTGGTGCATCACCTAACATCAGGCAATCCCCTATACTTGGGCACTGGATTCCATCTGCCGTTGAGTTTTTAAAGGACTTGACTCCTATAACTCCTCCCCCACCCTCCTTTCTCTTGCAACATCTTTTTTCTTTCTCTCATATACTTCTCATCAGCGATGCTGTAATAGCTCCTACCTTTAAAAAGCCCACCCTAAAACCCCTTTCATTTGTTAAATGAGTAATCTAGGGGAAACTGTTAGGCAAAAGTGATAAAGTAAAAATTATTTATTTTAAGCTAGTTCTTTGTGCGTTAGACAGCAGCTACCTTACCATATTTGGGGGCGCATTTAAAGTACTGGACTTGGCCGACACTTCCATTATTTTTCCCTTCTGGTTCATCCAGTTCGATGCCAGCCCACTGCCCACTTGCAAATTCAGTTGTTCCACAAAATCTTAATGTTCCAACCTAAGGACAATATAATATCAGAGTCGCATTAGTGTCGGACTCTTACAATTTCATTTTGTCATGAACACTTGTAACTATCCATGCTCTCAAAGTAGACTTTAGAACAAGGATAATCACTGGGTATAAGAGAAGCATTCAATTATAATGAATCAATTCTCAGGGAAATACAACCTTAAATGTGTATGCACCCAGCGACGGGGCTTCTAGGTACATGAAGCAAAAGATGTAACTGAAAGAAGAAATGGACAAGTCTAGAATTAGCGCTGAAGACGGTAACACTCCTCTCTCAGTAAGGACTCAATCGACAGTTCTAGACCTAACTGACATGCATGCTAAACCAGTCCACAGGTGGTGCACACAGTGAACACACTCGGCTGCCAACGGAAAGACTGGAGGGCTGAGTCCAACCAGAGGCATCTTGGGAGAAAGACCTGGGGATCCACTTCTGAAAAATAAGTCCTGGAGGGGCGGGGGGGATGGTGGGGGCGGGGGGAGCGAAGGCCTAGGGAATCGAGTGCTGCTCTGATCCCCGCAGGGTCCCCGTGAGGGGTAGACTCAACACCATGGCAACTGTCCTTGAGGTTTCTCATCCGAAACAGAACACAACTGTAAAGAAACCCTGTAACATAGGTCCTTGAACCACGATGAACTTGAACTGGAAATGAGCGACAGAAAGACATATGGGAAATACACCCCCCCCCCTCCAATATTTGGAAATAAAACAACATATTCCTAAATTACCCTGATGGGTGAGACAATCATGAGGGAAATTAGAAAATAACGAATACCACAATGTAGGGAAACGTGTGGACTGTGGCAAAAACTGCGCTAAGAGGAAAATTTGTAGCACGACATGTCTGTATTATAGAAGAGGAAGCATCTTAAATCAAGGCTCCAGGCTCCACCGTAAGAAACCAAAGACTCAAAGCAAGAAAAGGGAAGGGAAGAGTAAAGACAAAAGAACGCGACTGCGGATACACAGAGGACCATCAGAGAAACCAAAAGGGAATCCTCTGTAAGGGTGACTGAAATAAACTTCTCAGTGGACCAAGCAAGCAGACAGAGGAAAGGCACAAACTGCCAACACTGCGAATGAAAGACATGCCCTCGACCTTTAGAGGCTAAGAGGGAATACGGGGAACCGCTCTGGGGCCAGGACTGGGCGAATGAGATCAACTATTTCAACTCCTCAAAAGACACACAAATAAAGATACCTCGGATTGAATTTGTCGTCTAAGACCATAAAAACGAATAAATAAATACAACTCTAGGCCTAACGGGCTTTACTGGCCACGCAGGGAAGAGGCACAGAATAGAGTCCAGAAATCCACACGCTACAAAGATGCCAGAACCATTCCACAGAGAAATCAGACTTTTCCAAACACAGGGCCAGAATGAGGAGGTAATTGTTTGGAGAAAGGGAAGGTAGGAAAAAAAAAGGGGGGGGGGGTCACATAATCATCTATATAAAAATTCGAAATTAAATATAAAACTAAAAATGATAAGACTTCTGAAAGAACACACGGGGGAAATTTTCTGAGAGAAGACAACAAAATCGTAATCCATAAACGAAAAAAAGTTGAACTATTGGACTTCGCCAAAACAAACGACTCCTGCTCTCGGTGAGTCGTGGTTTGGAAACCAATTCGCCAGAGAAGACATGTGGGCGGCCAACAAAGATAGGAAGAACACCAGCCATGGCAGAGATGCAAAACAATGCTTGGCCCAGCATCAATAGCAAAGTTAAAAAAAAAAAAAAAACCCACCAGAAAGTAGCAAATACTGGAGAGTACGGTGTGGAGAGATCGGAAGCCTCAGACACTGCTGTGGGGACTGTAAAATCACACAACCACTGTGGACTGCAGGATGGCACTTGCTCAGGAAAAAAAAAAAATGGGACTAGGAATACAATATGATCCAGCAGTGGCGCTAGTGGATACAATATGATCCTACAATCGCTCTAGTGGATATACGTTCTAAAGAAATGAGATCTGTAAGCCCAATACACACATGCACAGCCATGTTCATTGCAACACTATTCACAAGAGCAAGACGATGGAAACCGCCTACACGGGTGAGCGGATGTACACAGGGACAACGGAACCCAGTGCAGTGTCCAAGAAGAGAGGGTCTGGGAGGCGTCTCCTGACGAAATGATGCTGAGAGGAATCAGTCAATCACAAAAGGGCAAATGCGACCTGAAGCCACTGTTGTTTGAAAAATCGAGAACAGGTTTTCACACGGATTCAGAAGCAGATGCTGGTGGTTGCCAGAGATGGGAGGGGAAGGGACGGAAGGAAGGAGGTCACAGCCGGTGGTTTGCCCGTTTTGTTTTGGTTGAGGGGGAGGCCCTTTTCAACCAAGGGGGGCCGGGGGCCACCGGGTTGCCACCGGGCAAGTCACTGGGATGTGTGAAGGTAGACCTGATGATGAGCTGCTCTGTGAGCCTTCCCCAATTCATGGTCAAGGGTAAAAAGACAGACACATTGTGAGGACGATGAAAAGACAAGCACCAGACTGGGGGGAAATGTATGAAGGAAAACAAGACTGGTTTATTAACTTAACGGTTTCTAAAGGCAAAAGCAAAACCCAAAGAGTAACTCTTTAAAACGTTCATTCTCACGCACAGGACAGGAATCCCACAGAAGCTGAGCATTAACCATTAGAAAACGCTATGCATCATAATCTCTTGCTATTTTAGCTCCACAAGGAGGGCCCCGTGCATGCATCCTTTAGGGAGCTGGGGAATTCCACTGCTGATAGCACAGTTTGGTAATAGTCTTCTTTGCTGTTTTTAATGAATTTTTCTTCATCAATCATATCTCTAAATTGCAGTTTTCTGAGAAATGTGTATCACCCTCCCCACAAAACCACTCAAAATACTGAGAAATATCTGTGCTAGAAAATTCAATATCCAAGCTGGAATTCCGTTTCATTCTCCAACAAGAGTTCCCTATGAACTCCACACACACATATTCTTTCTGAGCCTCCTAGAGGGTCTTTCAGAGAGGCCGGCAGTGAGTGAGTGTCTTAAGGACACTGAGACTTGGAAAGACAGAAATGCTTACAGCATGTCCCATGGGAGGCAGGGTCATTATTTTTCCACCTACCTTTTTATTAGCAGTTTAAGATACTATCTATCTAAGATTTCCCTACTTGTGGTACCTCATGGCCAAACACTGCACCTGGTGTGGAGAGGCCTCCTTTGCTCCATTTCTGTGATGCAGTGTGTGTGTGTGGGGTGGGGGGGTGGCTGGATTTACATTCCCACAGGTTTGCCACCAGGGTGGTGCTGAGCCTTTATCACACATTCACCAGCTCAAGGAACAGCCAGACACATGAATGATTCATCTTATATGGTAGCTCCTTTACAACTGCTCCGTGTGTGGGGTGGGGGGGTGGGGGGAGCCCATTTGGGAGCCTGGGGAGCAATCCGCAGAGCAGAGCATTTCTCAGCTCCGGCCTCTGAGCTCACCCAAGTGCCCTCTGAGGTGCTGCCCTCTTCCCCTTCCAACAACGAGCTCACCGAGTTCCAACCGTTCACGCTTGAAGTGTAAGCGCTGCATCTAAGCCTCCGTCTTCCACAAAGTACCCATTCTTCGACATTACCAACTGTCTGTTTTCTGATCTCCAAATTCTGGCCCTCTTGCACGCACTCCTGGCCACAAGGGCCTGGCCATCATGCTCCACAGGCCTAGCCACTGGGACAGCGGTTTCTTACCGTACCTTCTGTCCTGCGATGACAACGCGATCCCCCAACTTGAGACCCAGTGAGGTCAGCATTGCCTTGCCAGTAATCTGAGCAAGGTTTGGAAGCATCATCTTCGAGAGATCACCCGACAGAGGCACCGCATCTAAGAGCATCTGCTTGATCTCCTTGGCGGTGGCTGCCGCATCTGCCATCTCCAGGGGCATATCGACCGGGTCTGGCACAACATCGGCGGGCATCTGCCCCTTGTCGTTCTACAAAAAAAATGAATACGCAAGTTTGTGTTTACCCAGGTCTGCATGCAGCCCAAGGAAATCATCTTTGTAAATGTAAAAACTGCCCGAAGGGTCAGGCTTGAGGTGTTATTTTACCAGCTCTTTAAAAATGTATGTGTACTGAGCAGCTAGCATGGGCCAGGCACACTTCTAAGGTGCGAGAGGTACCATAGCCTCTCCACAAAAAGCCCTGCCCCTCAATGGGCAGTACATTCCAGGGAACCTGGTTTCCACTACTTCCTGCTTTCTTTTAGATTGAGGTTTTTCTGTGTTTTATTCTGTTATTGCTGGTGGATTTGTTAGTTTATGCTTTGCTTCATAGGAAATCAAGGATAGCTAAATTTTTTGAGACAGTACCTGGATGACTAGTTTCATCCAGTGGCGGCGGGACTGGGAAACGGGGAGCTAATAATGAGTATGAGAATGAAGAAAATGTTCTAAAATCGATGTGATGATGATTGTACAACTCCGCTTAATATGTTCAAACCACTGAGTTGTAAGGTATGTAAACTTTAAGTCAACAAAGCTGTTCAGAGAAAAGCTGGGAACCAATGATGGGGGTGAGCAGAGAGAAAGCTGTCAGAGGAATACGGGGGCGCCAGGAGACAGGAGTGGGACTGGGGCAGTGAGGAGGCTTTGACAAAGGTTCCACACTGAGCCCTTCATGGGCCGGCAGAGGCCCAAGCAGGACCCTGTGCCAGTGAGCCCGTCACGATGATGCACATAGGCAAAGAAGAGTGAGACCCTCTCTCTCATTGACCCTGAAATGCCCAAGGATTTGATGAAGATTATAAAACTCAAATCCTGTGTGTCTACTTTGTACATACATTGTACATACATACACACATTACTGTGTGTGGATGGCAGGGGAAGGGGCTATTTTTTCCTTGGCATAGCTCATTTTTAAAGGCTTACTCCATGCTTAAATATGCTTTTTTTTTAAAACTTTCCCAAAGAGTTCAAAGCATGATTTAATAGAAAAATATCGTGTGTCTATGTACTCTAACAGCTAACTCATCATAAATACTTCAAACGTTTATATAAAAGATATTTAAACTCAAAGGTGATGCAAACCCCAGAGCACCTTCCTTCCCTAGCCGGAGCACGGTGAACAGCGCTTCCCCAGCTAAGAGCTCTGAAACTCGCTGGTGTGCTGTTAGACTTATTTTGGAAGAAGTTTATCAGCATTACTATTTATAGGCGGCACAAAAATACAAATGACTTGCTCATCAGAGAGCCCACAACAAAGACTCTGTGCTGAAAGAGAATGTAAGGCATAATTCTTTTTCTTTTTTTTTCTTTTCCTTTCTGCTGGCTGTCTTACCCTAAATGCAGGGTTGGCCCCATGCTCCAGCAAACACCTCACGGCGCCAGCACACAAGTTATACGCAGCAATGTGCAGAGCAGTCCCAAAGTCAAAGTCACTGCAAGTGGCATCCACGTCTGCAATGAAACACCAACAGAGGATTCACTACAATGTTTCATTTCCCTATTATCCTTTGAAAAGAGACCGGCGCTCTGGGCAAGCTAAGCTTCTTTCCAAACAGCATTAAAAAGATAATCACTCATCAAACCTCTCCCACATTTGCTGTGATAGCCACAGTGAGGCAGTCAGGGTTAGCTCAGAGATCGGCAGACGGTGGTCCAATAGCCAACTCCAACCCACCACCTGTTTTTGGAAAACTCTTATTGGAACATCCCCATCCCCAGCATTCATCTATTCTCTGTGGCTAGTTTCATGTTACAACAGCAAAACTGTGCAGCTTCAACAAGGACCACATGGCCCCAAAGCCTAAAACGCTGACTATCTGGCCCCTTGATAGACAAAGCCTGTTGATCACGTAAGTAAAAATATGCCGGATTTCAAACTAATAGGCAGTGAAAGACCAAACATTGGGAGGTTTACCTATCATGTTGAATGTTTACCAATAACACTGAATGTTTACCTGTAATATTTGATTCATAATATTCTAGTCAACAAAAGAATTTGGGCTTCATAGGAAGAAAAATAATCTTGAAATGCTAAGAACTTTCAAAAATCACTATTGTGCTATTCCTAAACACAGGAAATACTTTAGATTTTGGATTCGTATTTTGAATGTTGACTCTAACAAAAATCTAATACCTCTCTGGTCCTGCAAGTCCTAGCTTTATCTAAACCAAAGCCCCACGTGCCCCACTGCCAACATGCTCAGGACAAATTCTTTTGAGTTATCAGTATCCACAGAGACTTCTTGACGGACATCACTCCAAAAAAAAAATTTACAGGTAAAATGTAAAGAGAAAATGAGCAACTACACAAAGCAGAAGTTAGAAACAAAACACTCCAGGCAAGGTATACGGACTGAATCTCTAAAACTGTGTCTTCTACAAATGGGGGGGCTATTGTATACTGCCTTAGAGTACTACTCTGGCTCTCATTTTTTCTCAAAAGGAAACAGACCCACTGAAAGAACCAGAGAGGAAGAGCAAATGTCTGTCATTTAGATCTTCAGTCCTGGAATAGCACCATGAGGGGGTCAGGGAGCCGGCGTTGGCTGCAATGGGGCTGAAATTTCATTAAGTAGAATCACAGAACTTCAAAACTGAAGGCCACCCCCAAAATAAACATTCTTTGTTATCTCAATGCCGACCTCTGAAGGCTTCCCTTCCCGTCTCCCTGGCCACCCAGGTATCCATCCACGTATAGGACATGGATTCAATGACAACAGTTATAAAAGCCATGTTGTCTTGGGGAATAATTTCCTTCTGTATCTCTTTGTACTGAGCCTTTCGTAAGTGACTATCAATCCTGAATAAAATTATTTTAGGAACAAAAAGGGGGGTGGGAAAATCAGAGCCCATATGGAACTAGATGGAGCAGGAATAAAGAGTCCCCCCTGAATGATGGCTTTTCAGACACTAGAAGAGTCCCTCCCACGAATGGGCTAGCAGCGAGCCGAGGCCCTTGCCTTTCGGTTTAGAGGTCTTCAGAATCACCCGCACGAGCTCCGGGACGTCAAAATAGGCCGCGTAATGCAGGGCGTTCATGTTGGTCCAGCGGCTCCGCAAGCCAGCGTCCGCTCCCAGGGCCATCAGCCGAGTGGCGAATGTGACAGCGGTCTCCACATCACCTGCAGGTTTGTTCGGTCATTTGTCAGTACAAATTCTCAGGTGCCAACCGATGCCTCTCTACTCCCTCATTTGAAAAGGCAAAGCAAGTGGCCTACTGAGTAGACTCACTAAAGCTCAAAACTTTCACTGGCAGAAATCCATCCTACAGTAATCGTGCTCGGGGGCCTGGCTAAACACTGTGCTAGAAAGATTTTGCTACGATGCTCAGCACTGTTGATACGCCAGCACTGTTTATTCTGGATCGAGCTCGGAAACAACCAAAACGAAAAGGAGAAATAGAGGCTAAAGAAATTGACATGCCCCCACCATGGAATCCTAGGAGGCGACGAGCAATGTACAAGGGGGCTTCGAAAAGGCTCGCAGGAAAATGGAATTGAAAGATGATGAAAGTTTTCCATAAAATGTTGGAGCCCCCTCATATTCATTCGAATATAATTTACATCTTTTGAAAAGTATTTAGGCATGCATTTTGCCTATCCTTAGCCTCCCCCCACCCCTACCCCCATAGACTAGTAATTATTTTTCTTTCTTTAAAGACTATCAATTTGTGATGAATTGGGAGCGGGGGTCAGTCCTTCATCACCAATAGTTGAAGACGCACTCATCAA